CAGTTTATTATGTCTCTTGAAAAGATATTCAAATTTTAAATATAATTGCGAGAGAGAGAGAGAGAGAGAGAGAGAAAGGGGAGAACAATGTTATGCAAAAATATGATAATCGGCCAAATTTATTAAAATGAGTTACACGCGTAATTGGATCGCCAAAGCGCGCACAATTCTGCATTTTAAACTCCATTTACCGAAAACTACGCGGCCGGGAGTGATTTAACTGATTTTTGCATAACACCGCCCAATCGACATGTCATTTCCAAAGTCGAATAAACTTTAACGCGACCGCTATTCCGAAACGTCGGTGAACAAATTTCCGAGATTGATCGACGCAAAGCGCTCTATTCCGAACCCGACACATTTCGACTTCTCCGTAGAGAATATTTCCGCCCTTTCGATTTAACGGTATCTGTCATCAGCGACAGCTAGTACCTCCCTTTGTGAGCGCGTAACAATCAAAAAATTGGCAATCGTGGTTTGGGAAACTATCTCACCGCATGTCGATCTGCGACAGTTGGCGCAACGGCAGTTTACAATAAAAACGACAGATGAAAATGATTATTTCGCGGTGGTGGATTCATGGTCCGCTCGTTTCGAACCAATGTTGCGCTATCGCGGTCATAAATACGTCCACGTGAAGGAAGATAGTCGTCCGCTGGATGGTCACTCGACTTCGTAATTTTATCGCTCCGTGAAATAATTGGAGCAAGAGAGGGGAGAAGAGGACCGGGAGATAGGGAAAGGAAAGAGAGAGACGGAGACGGAGATTATTACATTCAACGCGCGGAAAGTATAAAACTAAAGCGCTATTATACGACACAACTTCCGCAATATCGGGCATAAACACCGGTACGTGCAACGCCAAGTTATGCTGAGAGAAGAAGAGTGTAAGGCGTATCCTTAATTCCCGCGACTACGCAAACATTAGCTGCTCTTAAGTTTGCGCGCTCGGCGTCGAGTTGCACAGGTTGCGTACAAGTTACGCCTCGGGATATGTGTGGGTGTCGTGTACGTGGAGGGAAAGGGGGGGAGCGGGGAATTTGACATCGAATCGCGTGCACTTTGCCGGCGCGATGTAATATTCAGTTGCAGCAAGAATTCACTCGAAAGCGGCGAGAGAACCGAGCCCGGGCTCCCGCGAGCGAGGGAATTTCTTGTATCGCGTTCGCACGCGACATTTGTCCTTTCTTTTTCACGGTCGCGCGGAGAAAGCGGAAGGATCTATGCACACGTGCACACACATCGGAAACAGAGAAGCGGGAAACGGTCCGCTAAATCTGTCACTTACATTTTTCACGTTTCAATTTAAAGCGCCGGTACACGTGTTGGAGTCGAATTTTATCTATTTTTATATAAAGAGAAAAAAAGGGTCTTAATCTCTCCTTTCTTAGATGCGAAGGAAAATTGTCTTTACGCTAAAAAATTAAAGTTTGTTTATACTCTCTAAAAGTGAATCGGTGAAAATATCACTAATTTAAACAGTAAAATAAGATTTCACTGAGAATCAGGGAGTATTTTACTGATTTTCAGTGGAAACGTTTATTTTTTTGTTATTTTATCTTATATCTCACTGATTATGATCAGTTAAAATAAAATTCACTGTAAAACCAGTAATCGCTAATTTGTTTGTTTACCGCTACGATTGCTATCTCTTCCGTTTTATTTAGTTTTAGTCATAAGAATTATATAAAGTTTGCAAAGAGCGACAGATAAAATTAAAAATATTACCTCGATTTAATTTCAGATATTAAATCGATCTCATGAGTCGGACAAATAAATGTCTGGCGACTTAATGAAAATTATTCGTTCGTTATCTACTTAAAATAACAAGTTCAATATGCATTTAATATAAATAAAATAAAATTTTTAATGTAATAAATTTAGTAAATATAAATAAAATTTTTAATTTTATATGAAATAGATAGAGAGATGAATTGTAGTTTAATATTACTGACAATAACTGATTGAAACAGTCAAAATTATTAACTGATTCTTTCAATAAAATATCGCTGATTTACAGTGCTGTACTTGTAATTAGTAACTATTAACTGTTTTTCAGTGATAATACACTGATTCACTTTTAGAGAGTACAAATATATTTATCGAAGAATTAAAATTAAATGCTGTAAAAAATTTGAAAAGAGGTATCTAGATAGATGTTATTCTTCTTGAAAAGTAATACCCCCATTATGTTTCATATAATTTTATTTGCCGTATTTTCTCCGATATTTTTCAATTTCTTAATTTCCTTTAAAGCTACCTGTATACACGCCACACCCGCTCCGGGAATTACAAACTTGCCTTTCTCTCTCTTTCTCCGTATTTCCATTTCTCCCGCGTCTCCGTCTTTGCAACGCATTACCGTAATTGCGTAGTTTTCAACGGGATTATTACTCTGCCCGAGTTTTCCTTCTCTTCCGGAAGTCTCCTACGATCGTTACGCGCGTAGGTACGCGTGACGGTTGTCGGAGACCGCAATAATAGCGGTCACACACCATCATAGATGCCGTTCCTCGATGGGGGACGGGGATTTGTTCGCAACGATAATCTCCTCTTCACTATCCAAGAGACCCAACATGTTTTCAATCGGTTCTCGATTTTATAAGAGCAATTCGAATCGATCCGTTACGAGAGACCCGCATTTGCCAGAACACTGTTATTGGCAACATTAATATGCACCATTATCATTGATAATATATTACTGATTGTGTATACGGTATATATATGCGATATCACCGATTGTAATTTCTCGTAATTATTTATACATCTGATTATATCATAATCATTTACATATTAATTATAATTAATGCATTTAATGATTAATGCCATGTTTAGGAATTGGAAGTAAAATAATGAATGCTTTATATTTTAATTGATATATAAGATATTGATAAAAGAGAAATCATTGATATAAAATAAAATATATATATATTTTTAAGATTATAAAGTTTGGAAAAATTTAAATTAATACGTATTTGTGATAAGCAATGTGTGTTTAAAAAGATACATTTGAGGATACATTTTCTTGATATAAGATGTAAAGACATATTATGAATAAGAAAAAGCAACATTTTTGACCTATAAAATTAAAAATGAGGAATAAAATTTTTATCTCTCTCTCTCTCTCTCTCTATGTGTGTGTGTGTGTGTGTGTGTGACAGAGAAATTTATTTACATCCGTTATTTTCATGTAATTCTAAATAATTTCAATTAATTTGAGAGATTTTAATTTAAAAATACACCATTATATTTTGCGCGTTAATATTATAAAATTAAACGTGTACAGTTTTAGTGTTTATTCAAACTTTTCAATTTAAAAATGGAAACTTGTAGTTGATCCAACTCATAAAATAATATTGATTGTTATAAAATAAAACCGGTTTTATAATCATCATTTTATATCCCTCTTACTTTGATTGTTTACGCGGAGGAGAATAAATATTTTGCATTACGTTTTACATTTTATACAGCTTCATTCATCTCGCGAATATTATTTATTTAGCGAATTTTGCGGTGCGAGACGAGCACTCGGTGCTTCTTTTTTTTTTATTTTATAACAATCGTGAATAATTCATAGGTCCGAAGCACAGTGGTGAGATTATTCTTTTTTCTCCCACTCGTGTATACTAGTTTGGAGAGGAATTTTAAGCGGCTTTAGCACAAAACTGCGGATTTTCATCCCGAGATACTTTTCGATCTTGAAACGACCCATTGTCGATCTTGGAGCGCGTCAGGCAAATCACGATCGGTGTCAAGGATTTCCACCGGAAAACCGATTGTCTCGACTAAGCCTAACCGGCGTGGAAAAAGTGCCGACATAGTTTTTTTCCTCAATACTGACGCCTTGTGTCGCCTTGTATACGAGACGTTGGTAGGGAGACGAGAAAAATCTTTGAAGAAACGAAGGCCGACCTTCGAGCACGAGCAGTCTCGTGGAATTTGCATGATCGTAAGTCTCTCGAGATCCCTGGAAATTAGGCCGAAATTTATACGCGTCTTGCTCCTTTGTTTTTTTAATATGACGGAACAAAAAAAAAAGAAACGGGGTTCGCCTTGCGCGCTTTAATCTGCACGCGAGGAGAGGAAACAGGACAGCGTAACTAAGTGGTTCGGAACATGTTTAACATTTAACTCCTTATACTGATCTGTTAAAAAAAAAATATTCCTTTTATGCCGCAATCTTTTTTTGACACATTAGCACGCAATTCAAAAAATCATCCAGTGTCAACAATTTCAGAGATAACATTTTAAAATTATTCAGCTGTTTAGTCGCATCTTTTTTCACATTTCTTCCCCTTGACATGTAAATGCACATATGTTTCTTTCTCGTAAAGTTGCGTATATATAATTTTGATTTGAATGAAAAATTGGACCTGGTAAATATTAATGAACGTTAAACGCGTTGATGGTAAAAAGTGCAGCTTATTTTGCATTCGCCTCCCTCCCCTAATTATTACGTCACCGGGAGGACGCCGAAAGCTTAGATCGTCCAGGGAACGTTGCACGCAACGCGCACATAAGAATCGGGCGCTACGTCATTACACGGTTCCACCTACTGACAGATTGCTTGCGTAGCCAGCACGGGCACCTGCTGTTCCATTTTTCCCGCCGATTCGCGCCGGGAACTATCATTTTCTTAACGATACCGAGCGGTACGTCGGAAATGGTATAGGGATGACCTTCCGCTGAACGTTCGATATTTCGAAAACGGCGAACCGACGCTCGATGGTCGATTCATGAGAGACACGATGGGCTTTGCCCCATGATATTATCGGCTGTAAGAACGGGGTATACAAGAGAATAGATAGTCAAATGGCAGATGGGAAAGGATATCGGTGTTTTATCATCCATTAGGATAAGATTCCGTTTCGATCTAAGCGCCTATTTCGTATGAAAGAATCGTTCAATCTTCGCATTTTCTTATTATTGAGCAGGATTGATAGGATCAAAGTCTTTCAACGTTTTTGTTTCTATAATGTTTCCAATGTTTTTTGTTTCAGGTGTTGGCCTTTCACGTGGATTGGGATATTCGCATAGCATTCAATCATCTTCTGCTGCTTCGGTTCGTATTAACTTTTTCATTTTTTATTCTTAACGCGACGTCGATCGCGACGATATTAATGAAGAATATTGTAATTATCAAATTTTAATATTTTCTCAAGCAATTATTTGTACAAGTTTGTTTTCAAAAGATTTTCATTATTTATTTAAGATTGATATAAAATTAATATGAAAATTAATATAAAACGTTAAATAAAAATGTAAACTACATAAATTAAATGATACAATTTTAAATACGCTTCTGAAAAATAAAATAATATTGGAAAATAATATTGTATAATCGAGAACGCTCAGAAATTACAATGTTCTCAATTAATGCCATCGATTTATTAGCATCAATTAAAATTTGCTATGGATTAAATTGACGTGTAATGATAATTTAATATTCTCCAATTATATCGTCCAATGTTACGATGAGTTTTGTAAAACTACGCTTAAGGTAACGCAGAGGCGAGTTAGAAAACACTAGAGGTAGCGAAATCAAGATATTTCAATATCAAGCTTTAACATCGATGTTCCGACTTGGTGGGCGATAACTAGCGATCGTTCCCGGTGTTAAGCATCGATATCAACTATACACGCTCTCCCCTTTCATTCTATCTCCCGCGAGATAGCCGCAAGCTTCTCTCGGCACGGTTCGATTCCCCCCTAAATAATAATGTCTAGACGTCTTTACGCCTCGTCCTCGTGCGACGAATAGCTCTCGTGGTGAGAATAAAATTGGTCGTTTACGATAAACTCTGGACTTTCTTTCTCTCCTGCCCTATTCCCTCACGCGTGTATCGCCTTTCTCAGAAACAAGCGATTCATTATTCCTCCGAATGAAACGTGAGGAGAATTTACGGTTTTACGGTGCGACGACAGAAGCCGATAAAAGACAGAGGAGGGAAAGAGAGAGAGGGAGATGGACTTGAGTAGGTGCCTTTTTCGACGAACTGTTTAACACGCGTCGAATAAGCTCGTAACGTGAGCGAGGTGGCCAGACGATTTAATATATAAGGTATTTCACATGCTTTTTCGTTTAGCATTTAATCAATATCGAATTGGGTTTTCATAATACTTTCTCGTAGTATTTGAAATGACACTAAAAATCATAGGCGATTTTTTAGATTAAATTAAATTAATTTTTTAAATTAAAAAAATTTCGTCCGATCGACCAAACTTTATTTCTTAATTGAGTCGAAGCAAATCTTATCGCAGAGGAACTTCGCATTCGAGGTTGATCGACCTTATCACGGAGGAACTTCACATTCGAGGTCGATCGATCAGGGAATGGAAATTTGGAAATTGGAAAAAGATTTGACAAATAATGATGTGATTCTCCTCGATGTTCCTCGCTACAGAAAAAGTAATCAAGGAATATATCATATAACGGAAGAGAGAAGAGATAGAAATACGAGATACCGATTCTATCTTCGACTCGTAAAATTAGATATTTTATTTTCAGAAAAACGTCCATTATTCGCTCATAACTTGAATTTTATGTGCATTCCAATGATACAAACACAAGTTACATTATGGTCATTCAAAATTTTTACATTCCACGAGAGAAGGAACGATTAGCGGTCTTTATATTGTAACATCTCATATTCTTACGTCTTCTTTTAGAATGCTTTTCGATTAGTCCGGGTCACCCTACGTGCATGCACATGTATTTGGGGCGATGTGTACACGTGGACATGCGTACGGCCTGCCTTCCGCTTTCCGATTGGCCATCATGGGGCTGCCATCGATTTTTCTCATGCGTATGTATCAAGATATGTAAATACGGCTCGTACTATACACAACGCCTTGGCATTGTATCGTCGCTTGATACGAGGAAAGAGATCGTGAATTAGAGGGGAGGACTAACGTGTTCATCCGAAACATACGTGTCCAACGCGACTCGTTTATATTTAAATGAACGGTTGATTTTATATTGTACCTTGAGCACGTCTTTTTTCTGAAGGCGCATCTCCTGGATGGATCCTGCGGTGCGCTTTCGATATACATGCATAGGATACAAAAAACGACTACCGGCCCTCGGAGTTTGAACGCGGTGTGAAAGACAGAGAGAGGACATTTTCATCCGCGCGAGGCTGGACAAGAGTATTGTAACGCGCTTGAGCCAGCGCTCTCTTTTTCTGTTGGCTTTTGATTCACGATAAAGCCCAGAGAGCTCGGCAAGTCAAGCTAAACATTTAAATATTGAACGTTCGCCTCCCACGTGCCCGTTGGGGCGTAACTATCACGAGTTATTTTCGAAATTAACTCGCGGTACGCAAATCCGCTTCAAAAGTGCTTCTTTTTATCCTAAGTAAAAAACGAGTCATTTATTATTCAAATGTCGAGTGTATGATTATTCATTGTGTTGATAAATTTATCTTGATTATGAATAATAAATGCGTGTGTGGAATATATATTTAAAACAAATTTTTTTTTAATTCTTCTCACGCCGAGACCTCCCAAGTTAATACTCTTACTATCTGTATATTTTAATTAAATTAAAACATGTAAATTGTTAATAGAAAATTTTTATATTTTTACTCGCGGCACCATTATTTGCGCGATATCTATCGTTTTGTTTCCTTCATCAAGTTGCTCGCCAAAGTTGTTACGTGAGTGAGCGAAGCAAGTTTAATTCGATGCGAGATAGATGGAACGTAACTAAAAACAAGCGCGAGAGACGTGGAGATTTAATACAGATGCTAAAAAATGGCTTCCCTTCCAGGCCGGATCATCGGAGAATTGTTGGCCTGACAAGTAAAATTTTCAAATTGACGTGCAACAGTTCGGGCGTGCTAACGCGGTATTGTAGTCGCGAATACAATTGTCAAAGACAATTGCGTCGCGGGCGAGAACGACGATTGATTTATCGACGACATTACAATTCGAGAAATTATTTGACTCGAGCGTTCTGGCGCGCGGTTGGTGGAGGTGGTTGGTACCACCGATGCCGTTCAAGTTGCGAGTGTCGAGATAGATGGGAAATTTATCAGAAGATTCAATTGTAGGAGGCGCCGTCGCGTTGATCGGGCTATCAATTTTAAACGCAATCCGTGCGATATAGATTCGAGGAATCGAATTCGAAACTCTGCCGACTTTAACCCAATATTTACACCGCCGTCCATTTATTAACGTTTCTAAATTGCGCGCTCATTATACGTTCTTTTCTGGCACAACAGCGATATTTTTCTCGGAGATTTTTCGAATCGATATCGCCGACATTTGAAGAATATTACTTCAATTACGCGTCGTGTCACGGTAAGATTCATTAATCTAATAAAAAATGGAGATTTTTTTCACACAAAGGCGTATAATTTCATAAACAAAATTTGTAAAGCGATGCAAATTGGTTTTAGATAAAAAAAATCCTTGTACCTTTTTTTCTAATACATACAGAAATAAGAAAATAGAAAAAGAGAATAATCTACTATCTATTTTTAAAACTGGACAAAATTAAGTTCACTTATATTTTACAAAAGAGATATAAAACTATGATGAATATCCTTGGCACTCGTATCGAATATCCAGTCTATAATTTATAGGAATCCCCGGCAAATGTCCAATGAGCTCGCCGAAAATCCGCACATAAATCAATCTATAATAAAACAACTAGCGTTGCACATTTGTGAGATAAACGTTTTTTTTCCCTTTTATTTTTGTCATAAACTACCTTAATACTCAGAAATGCGCTATGGATGCATATATGATTTCGTACATGGTTGTGCTTTCTTCATGACTGTGGAAGTGGTTAATGTAGTGTTTATCGTCATCTCGGAAATTAATTAGCCTTTGAAGTCAAAGACACTATACCCTACATTATTGAATCGATTATAGTCCGTTACCTCAGCAGCGTAGCAATTATATGACGGGTCGCTTGGATTCATTAACGAAGGACCTTTGCGAAACGTTGTTTGATAATCAAGCTGTTTGTTCAAAAACTTTTAACTACCTTTCATATACAGGTTAAAGATATATATATATTTGCTATGACAATACAAGATTTTATATTCTCTTTAATGACTTTGACTAAAAATGACTTTCTTTTTATGAAAATTTAAAGGACATGTAATTAAAGTAATATTTAATATAAAAAAATGTGTGTGTAAGATTTTTAAGATTTAAATTCTACATGTTTAAAAATAGATAATCTGCCGAGTTATTTTTTTAAATTATTTTTAAATCAAATTTATTTTAGAATCTGGATTAAAACTTAAAATGTTTAACTTAGTGTTATTTAATATTAAAAATTTTTAACTGATTGCAAAACATGGTTGAAAAGATTCTTTTTAAGGAAAAATTATCTTTAATATTGAAAAATACTAGTAAAAATTATTGAGGTAGATCTTATGAAACATCCTTTAAATATTTTCATTTTCGAATATATCTTGTCTTTTTTTAAAACATTTCTACCACTATTATTGATGACATATTTTAATATATAATTTGCCATTATAAAAGAAAATATACAATTATTTGTCGAATAATATGGGATACATGTATACCTATCTCATGGATGGTTGAATAATACATTCGGTCTTTTCAAAAATAGAATAGGTATATTCGATGTTTTATTTCCACATTTTAGGAAAAATAATTCTCTACCAACGAAGTTATTCACTTCCTCTCTCTCTTTCTCTCGCTTTTGTATGTATAATGCATTCTCAAACCGCGACAAAATACGCATCCCCCTGTACACGTTTCGCTCAACAACAGCTTCTTCGATTATGTAAACGGTGCGATAAATTACATGGGGTGTTTGTCATCTCAACATGACATGGCAAGGAACGAGATAGATACGCGATTAGCTCCTCAGCTCGCGAGTCTCTTTGCAAATCTCGAGAGGATTCTCTGTCATGTTCGCCTACAACATGACATGCATATACATACAGAAAGAGAAAGAGAGAGGAAAAGAGAAAGAGATGATACTTTTAATTAAAGTAAACCTGAATATTTACATAAGATTTAAAAATATAACTTTTTAACTTAAATTTTATTTCTTTCAATCTCAGAAGAATT